CTGACAAGGATCAAGTTGCAATACTATAAATCCTTATAATTCAGGGTGAAGATCTGGCTTAAGGTTACAGGGAGGGTTGGGTCAAGCCAGGAAGTGAGTGCAATGTCCTCCAGAGTCACACAAAAAGGACTCTGTTCGTGTCCGTGTGCATTCTTATACTTTACGCGTCCACAGATAAATGTGTTTTTTTAGGCTCTGCTGGAGCTGGAAGAGCTGGAACTAATGACAGTTCTAATCACAGCGATAGGGATCAGCGAGCGACTGCATGCCAAACACCCTCTGTACAATTTACTGCAACGTGCCAATGATTTGGGATTTCCTTAGAAAACTTTTGTTTTGTGGTCCGATCATTGATCAGTATCCTGTCAGTCGTATAAAAAAAAAAAACAAGGAAAAGACAAGCCTGACAAATTGCATACCTTACGCAATGCCAGTATATTCCGTGATATTTCTAGACAGAAATTGCAGGTGTCTCTTGTTTAAATTCCCTTGCCTGACTATGCTAGCTGGGGAATTCTAGCATTTCTACCGGAGATGTAAATCTCTAAAAAACACAAATACTTAGTTTCATTTTGGAAAGTCATTTTCTTCAACTTTTTGGTAGTACAGTTTGAGCAAGTAAACTTTAAACTGTTTGTACTAGGGCAGGTGTGTAAGGCCAACAGGCCTGAATTAGAAATAAATTAGTAATAAAAGACATTTAAACGACAAATCTACTGTTTTTTCCCAAATATTTCACAATAATAGAAATATCTTCCTCATTTCTAGTTTGATCCGCAGTAAAAAAAACAAAATCAAATCAAAAATGTTTTTATAGTTACAGTACCTTTTACTTTTATAACGTAACACTTATTTCAGCCCAAATACTCGTACTGACAGATTTCTTTCACTTACTAGAGCATCATTTCTTCACTATCAGCTTATCCCAGCTGTGACAGGGCTGTGAGGAAACAGTGCTAGCCACCTCAAAACTGTGCTGCTCCAGACCTAAAGTTCCACAGTGTGAAAAATAAAAAGAACTTCATAGATTTTTTTAAAAAATACTGTAAACCTTTAAACATGGGGTCTACGGGGACTGACTTACATTTGGGTCTCAAGTGGCCATTCAAGGAACTGCAGTTTTCTATATTTTCATGCTGGCACTATTTTTTTCATTAGCATAATCTGATTGTTGGTTTGGAGATGGACAAGTGCAATTTGATTTGGCTTACAGACAATACTTATATCCAGATCTAAATAAGTCATGATTTGGTATAAAAAAAAGAAACAGAATATCTAACAGAATGCTTTTTTAATGTAAAACTTCAGAAACCCCTCATATCCCTCCTCTCTCTGTATCCAGTGGACTACAGCGGCTTTTTGCAGAATCAGAATTTTTAAAAAAACATCCTCATGGTTTATTTTCTCATTGAGAATATTCTGTCACAGTGGGTGACACAGTGGGGAAGATTCCTGAGGTTTTAAATGGAATTTGGAAAAAAGGGAATTGTTGATGCGGGACTTCATAAAATTTGGGACTACAAACCACACTGAGTGACATTTCAGTGATTTTTCCACTGGCTCTCCTTCTAAACAATGACAGCAAAGTCCTGTCAGCACTGAGGTTATTTGAAGAACCGAGTTTTTGATATCTAACCATCAATTTGAATGACAAAGTTAATCTGCATTCATCCTCTGCTGTTCCACCACCGTCCCAGTTCATTTGCATCCCGTCTATGAAATTTACATCTGACTGTTTGAGATTTCACATTGTTGTCCCATTTTAAAATGTCAGTGAATCTGATCTGTGAACTGTCCAATGGAACCAGCCTCGAGGCTCAATGTGTGTGTGTGTGTTTGTGTGTGAGAAGGCAAAGAGAAGCAGAGCAACACAAACCTCCCCGAGGGAAGTGAAGCATTTAGAGCTACATTGGAGGGAGGCGATGCCCGGCCACACACAGACTGAGCCCACATTCCGCCTAAGCAGAACAATTATTCCCATAATGGGCAAGTTTAACTTTATTAGAAGTCGTGCAGTCAGCAGCACGGTACCGAGCCAACAACAATGACAGTGACATTAAACTGCCTGAGAGGTTATCCTGCTTCAACATCTGACCTTCAAATCCTCCACAGCCTGTCCCAGTGTAACATAACCAGCTCGGCACTTTTTCAGATGAGTGGTTCAGACAAGAATAGCTTGTGCGACTGTGTGTGTGTGTGTGTGTGCATGTTTAAGGTTATGGTCACATACAAATGTGCTTTTGTATATGAGGACTATAGTGAGCCTAAAATATGCAGAGTTCCTTCCAGTGGCTTTGTTTCACGGGTCCTTGGTAAGCCAGAGTTTGTTATCTGTCTGGCTGTCAGCCTGAATGTTTATCCATTTGTCTGAAAAAGAAGAAGAAGAAGAAGAAGAAGAAAATCTGGAAAAGGTGACTCTGGCCTTCCCACCTTACACCCACTGACATCCGATGAATGTTAATGTGGGCAGAAGGCTTAGCATACCTGTCTCTATATGATGAACGAGAAGCCTGTGAGACAATGACAGCAGATGAGTTGAGGATCCAGTCCCAGAGCTCGGCTGGGACGGCTGGGTGTTTTTAGGGAGGGGACGATGGGAATGCGAGTAACTCGGGCTCACAGTTAACCTGACACCGCCATCACCAGACCAGCGGGACAATAACGGGCCAAAGCATTCCACACTTTTCTAAACATGGCCTTCACTCCTCTGGTGCAAGACACTGCAGAGCTTTAATGCTCCTGAAAGCGATCTCTGTGCCACATTTACTCCTTTGCTGGCTGCTCTCTTTGTCTTTTTCTGGGTTGTCCGTACAAAAAAAGAAAAAACCAAAAAAAAAACTCTGCAGCTTCCACTTAGCACGAGCAACCAATCAATCAGGAAGCGGTACACCCCAACAGGTCTGATAAGAACGTGATGGATGCTAAACACAAAACCTGGATTTACCATGCATAGGGGTATCACAGAGACAAATTACCATAACACAGCTCCTTTAAATGCCCTGAGAAGATTGTAGCTGTCTATTTTTCCACTCTGTAACTGCTTTGAACTTTTTTTTGCTGACTGCTCGACTATAAGGGGTTAGCACAACACAACAAAAGAGACCAAAATGTCAAAGAAATAAATATTTGACTTAATTAGACTATAAACATCTGCTCTCAATTTCATACCCCAAATTCGGCGTCCAAGGCCGATCTTGATTCCCTGAGATATTTTCTCATTAGCGGTTCACAGACAGACAAATATAGAGTGAGAATTTTAATGAAAACTTGAATTAGTTCTGCCTTAAACCCCAAACACAGGAGGCTAGATGCCCTACAAGCTCGGTATGATGAGGCTCTTTGCGACTGCACGGAAAATCTATTAGTGCATTTAGCTCAACTGGAGTATTGCTGGTGTTTATACAGTGCACCACTGTACACTCTTCAAGGACACTCGCTTATTCCCCCACATTTCCCACTTATCTCTCTTGCACACACGCACACACATGGGTCACTGTGAAGGACATCCAGCATTCCCAACATTCCCATTGGTGCCTGGCATCAGTGAAGAATTGCCAGATCCTCTCTTTGCAGACCCCTCCAACACCTACGGCCCCACATTCACCACAGGCTGATGCTTCCTTCAAAGGGTTACCATCATGTGGATGGGCCTTGTTTCTCTTTGCCCAGTTCATTCATTTGAATTAGCTGCACGCAAACAGAAGATACTGTAGCAATAACAATCGTACTCTACAACAGGACTAGGTTTTGGTCCTATTTGCTGACCTATTTATAAAAATCAACAATGAAAAGCCAGATGTTTGTTCATTTCTACACAGAACTGTCATGGTGGAAGGAGAAGAATGTGAAACACATCCTAAAAAGTACCATTTCAGCAGGTTGATGCAGTAATTCCTCAGTTGTTATATCTAATTTAAAAATCTGCTTAATGACTTTTCACAGTTACTGCTTCAACTAATCAATAATTATAATTTTTAATATAGAAAACCAAAATAAAATGCTTTGTCTATGAAAGAAGTTCAGGTACAGAATTTCACAAAGCAAAAAACAAGCAGAAGTAATGTTTGCCATTTTTCTTTCCAAAAGTTCCCAGCAGAGTTCCGAACTGATCCTAAGATTATTTTAAACAACTTTTTTGAGCTCTAATTTTTTTATTATTAGTTATAAACTTTGGTGTCATTCGAGCAGTGACTGTCTATCCGTTTATTCAGTACAAAACAGCCCCACAAGCAGCAGGAGTCTCAGACTGTTTGGAAAGTGCTCAGCTATGAAGTATATTTTTCTTCTTCTTCTGGCAGGGCAAGTTCTCATTAGCATAACTCAAATATAGCATATTCAGACTGAGAAAATATTGGATATACAAGATTTGCTGAATGATGTGTTGGCAGGATGAGAGAAAAAGGGAAATAAATTTGAAAAATGTCTTCATAAGCCTCTTAGGCTTTAAGTGTTGATGAACTGTTGATGTGTGAGCTTCCCCCTCAGCGGGGCATCTCCTTCCTATATCTGCTGTCTGTTTTTGGTCCTTCATGAATGCTTCAACAATGCCATCCACTCCCCACACCTGTCGAGGGTCACGACCCCCCCCGGTTCCTCTCATGATTGGCCTCCTCGGTCTCTGGACAAGCTGCCTTCATTTCAGACCTTTGTTTATCCATACATCCTACTGATGCATCTATTACCAGCCATCTCTGGTGATGATCTCCTTCTCATCTCCATGTCTGGATTGGTTCATCAGGGTGCTAACTTTACACCAGCTGTACATCATGCTCCTGCCTGCCGTCTGACAGTAGTAAGACACATGGTTACTGAAAGCCTAAATTTAAAACTGCTGCTCTGATGCCCAGAGCAAGTGGCTTCATTAAAAACTATCAGAGGAATTTCGAGAGGGCTACTTAGTGTGCTAATAGGATAACACCACAGTGTCTGGTGACACATGTGGGCTATAAGGGGCGAAAGAGAGACCATGTTCAAGGGATGTGTGGACACAAAATACCCTGGGGAGCAATAGAATGATAGTCGTAGAGGAAATGAGTGGAAAAAAGAGATGCTTGCTAAGACACTAAGGTCTGTTGGGGTCAGAGGATGGAGTAAGTGAATGGAAAAGAACAAACCCTGCTCTCTAAATAGTAAATGTGGATTAAAGTGAAAATCAAATCATCTTCAGTATTTGGTTTAAACTCGCCTGGGGCATCTACTGGTTGTGGTTTTTCTGCAAAGAACGGCACAATTTCATTCTGTACTTCCACAAATATTAAAAACATCTCTTTTTACAGATGACCATAACCTGTCATTATTTGCCTTTTCAACCCTATTAAGCAACCACAGACATTTTTGAATATTATCTTTCTATCTGCAGACGGACTGAGTAAGAAAGTGGCAGACGGGACGAGTCGGGGGAATGATGGAGAAAAGGCGAGGAAGCAGTAAAGAGAGAGGAAAGCTGGAAGGAGGAGTGGAAGGAAAGATCAAATCAGGTCAGATTATGGTTAACGGCACATTGAGGATCATGTTCAACAGCGGTCTTTGACTTTTACTGTCCCCCCCTTTTACACCCCTGTCACCAACGCAGGCAATGCAGCAAATGGCTTTGACATCTGTATTCCCACTTAGAGGACAGCGGAGCAGCAGAGAGGAGATGAGAGTAGAGGCGAAACAGAACAAAGGAGAGATTGGCAACGTAAAGCATAAAACAACAAAGCGAACAGGCAGGAGATCAGTTACAAAACAACCCCTTAATACAGCCAATGAGAATCCCACCTCTCCCCATCTGGTTGCAGGTGTGTGCGGAGTCAAGTTAATGTGCTGGCAAAATCATTACAACATTATACAGTTAAAGTCCTCTGCAGTGGAAACATCTTGACTGAATCATGACCAAAAAGGAAAGAAAAAAAAGTCCAAAGCAGCAATCAAATGACAACTGAGATCCTGTGGATTGAAAGTGACAGCAGTGGTTTGGCTAAATCTCACTCTGCCTCAGCCAGTCAAGCAAAGGGTTTGAAAAACCAACAAAAACCGAGGCTGAAGGAGGACTGACTCTTAAAGTGGGATTAGGCTCGAGATCGGTTTAACCCTCGATATAAAAGCATTAAAAAAAAGCTGTTAAAAGCATGAGAATGTGGTCAGAGCAGGAAGATTTTTGTAGAGACATGATGTTCAGTTATGTTAATTACAGCAGATACTGAAAACCAAAAGAGATTGGGTTTGTTTTTTTTATTAACTATCGAAGATAAAAACAAAAATTTAAAAAAAAATGGTGGTATACTGCAAAATGAAAACATCAAGTCCATAATTTTACATGCTGGGATATCAATGATTTACTGGAAATGCTTTGAGGTAAATTTTGTTATTAACTGGAAAATACGCTAACAGCTTGTCACTCTGTAAAACTGTCATGAAAACAGTCGGCCTCACGGTGGTAAACTAAGGCCTGAAACACTGAAAAACCAACACATTTAACACATCAGATTATTTTAGATTTCTCTCAACTCGGAAATACGATAATCTGACAATGACTTCTGGATATCTGACTTCCTGTTGCACATGTAAGCACAGTGAACACACGGGTCGCACGTGTTTCTACAGGACTTTTAATCATTAGTTATTATAAATCTCTGGCGCTCATCCACAGCGTATATTTGCCCTGTCTCTCTCCCCTCACCCCCAACTGGTCGTGGCACATGGCTTTCCCTCCCTGAGCCTGGTTCTGCCGCTTTCTTCCTGTTTAAAGGGAGTTTCTCCTTCCTGCTGTCACTAGATGTTTGCTCAAAGGCAGTCATGTAATTGTTGGGGGTTTCTCTGTGTTATTGTAGGGTCTTTAGCATACAATACAAAACACCTTGAGGTGATTGTTGTTGTGATTTGGCACTATAAAAATAAAACTAAATTGAACTATATTCATGCTGTGTGTATTATTGTTGCCAAACTGCTGTTTGTGTTTAGCAGCTTATGAAGACTTTAGTTCTTCATCCTGTTATAGTGCATTCCCACAGGGGGCACCTTCTTCAAGCAACACACACACACACAAAAAAAAACCCACCCATGAGCTACAAATTGTGTTCGGTCTGTATGTTTACCATTATCACTAACTTAGTTTGGTGTAATAGTGTGCTAACATCTGCAAATTTGCACTACACAGACAAAACAGCTGCACCAAATTTTGTGAAAAGACATCCAATAGTTGTTGAGACGTTTTACTCAAAGCCACAAACTTCTTGGTGGCATGAAGAAAACTGGAAGATCACCAAAGTCATTAGGATCCAGCAGGTGATCCGACAGTTACTGAATAATTGTAGTCCGGTCCACACAGCTAAGATAGCACAAACACAATTCATGGGTTTTGGTTGCCTTTGCACTCTTCTGACAGCAATACACCATAATCTACGTCATGTCTTATGTTCCAGACATTTAAAATGATATTCTAGACATCTCCCATTCTTACTCAATTGAGGAGGCCCTGCTGTTCATTATAACAGCCAGCTGCAGGTTCTTTTGTCGAGGGTGCAAGTTACTGAAGCTTTCCCTGGAGCTGTCTGCAGTGTGTGAGCATGCCTCCATAGGCAGAGGTAGAGACATACTATGCACACATGGGCTGCACTTGAAGACACCCCCCCACCAAAAAAAGCACCTAATTGGAGACAGGAACATCAGCATACCTTAAGTGTGCACATATGTCCGTTTATGTCAGCGTGTGTAAGAGACGTGAATGAAAAACAATGAAGACTTTTTAAAAATTCACTTTGAAGAAGAACCCTGCTCAGCCTGTCTGCCCAATGTCCCTTTGGTGTTACTGCAACACCATACCACAAAGCACAAAAGTGACACCGCAGTACACAAGACTAAAGAGCCCAATACCACATGTACAATCACAACCAGGAGGAGAGAAGGGCATCGTGTGGGTCTCCAGCATGAAGGATTTTTTTGTGAATTCAAACATATAAAATATCAGAATTAGCTGAAGAGGAGATCGAGGGACAAACGATGGCTGGGATGAGGGGAAAGGGAACAAATGATAGTTTCACTTCATGTCCCTCAAGGGAAAAATAGGAAAACTGGGATTGGGAGAGACGGCATTCTCCTGCTTCTTTCTATGGCTCCTGCTTGATGGTTAATGCCTCTTTGTTTTGTCACTGTGTTTTTGAGTGTGTCCTGGAGTAGAGTAGAGCTGAAAATCCATCAAGGGTTTGTTGGATCGTATCCAAAATCTACGTGTTTCCATCAAACGCACATATGGCAACATGGCTTTGCGTGTATGTGTATCTGTTTTTATTGGCACGTAAGCCCTGCCTTTGTGTACATATCCATATACCTGTGCATGTGGGCCCCTGCGTCGAAACATATTTGTTTGCTCTCTGGAACCAGGTTCAATGTTCTCCTCGGGGGCCCTTTTGTTTCATGTCATGAGGATCCAAAAACAGTTTGGCTAACTCAATTCAGCTCCAACTTCAACATCAACCACAGCCGAGTCCAGTAACTGTGCCAGAGGCAGGATACTGGACTGAGGGGGCCAGGTCAGTGTGTGTGGGAGACTGAGTGAATGATGACTGATGGTTGGCAGACCCACATAACCCAACAGACAGAAAGACTGACAGATAGATGCATGGACAACTTCAGGACCAAATGCCAAGTCATCTGATCTGTTTTGTTAGGAAAGGCTCCCTTGACCACCCTCAAGCAGCCTGATCAGATCCGTCGTGGAACCCTGACAGCCCTCCAAGTTCTTCCTCTCCTCCTCCTTGACCCCTCCACCCTATAGAGACAAACAACCCTTATCTTCATCCGTCTTCTTGCATGGATGTCTGCACAGTAAAGGTGGTAGATTCAGGCCAAAAGCTGAGAGGTGATTGGCTTCAAGTCTCCTTTACATGTCTTTTAGGTGTTTTGAACTGTGAGCTCCACTTCTAACTAAAATCTCAGCGCTAAGAAGAACTTATAGGGACCAGCTCCCTCCTGGTAAAACAAAACAAGTAATGTTTAAATTAGACCTGGCTTCCTTTAAACTCTTTACTCCATGAAAGTCTGCGGGAGTAACACTTGAAGCTCTTCTCTGAACTGAGCAGTTTCTGTCACATTTCAGGCCTCCTTATAGAACAGAATGTCTGGGTGTACATCAGACGTCATTAAGGGTGGTCTCTGTGTAGCTACCTTTGGAAACTATTCTAATGGTTGTCAAACCACAGCTTTGATACATACTAAGGTGACAAAACTCATTTATGTCACTTAGGGTACTGGGGAGGTTGTCAAATGTTGTCTTTATGGGGAAAAGAGTTCAGATATAGATTTCACATACAATTTTGTGATATCTGTTATATTTATGCATTTTTCAGACATTCATCTGTCAGAAACTTTAAACATTTACAAACATGTTATAACTGTAGTTTCTTCTCCCCTAATTTAAACACTCCCCCCACCCAGAGCCATGGTGAGAGAGGTTTGCAGGGGTGCTGATGATGGCGTTTAGCTCCCAGAGATAACACCGGGTGTTTTTAGTGGAGGTAGATTAAAAGGTGGAGGAGTGACCGAGCATCCTGTTTGCCCTTGTTTAGGTTTTGAAGCTTACTGAAGGAGAGATTGTGGGGCGCCACTGTTACTAAAAGGTGAAGAGGTTGCAAGGTTAGAGGCTAAGGATTATTACTGGACGCAAGATCCCGGATAAACTAAACCCCTGATGTGTGCCGGGGCCAGCAGCGAATTTCGATAACTGAACCTAAGACTGTGTTCAGTTCAATTTAGGTTATTAGATCCCCAAAGTCTGGCTTCTATTAATATTAAAAGATAAGATCTTGGTGTGGCGTGTGATCTGTGTGAAGAGCCTGTCAGCGGCACAGACTATTTACAGATATGGGCCCAGTTAAAATGACAGGACGGACGCAGGGCCAAAATAGAAGTGAGCTGGCAACAACAGCTGTCTTTGTGTCTCAATGTGCTAAATATACGTGACAATTATTCCAAGACAGCATACAATGACAGGTTTCACATTTCCCCGTTTTCTAACTTTCCTCCTCCGTTAAGTATAAACTCTTCTTTCTTTTTTTTTCAAAGAAATTCAACCTCTCTCTCCTGATGAATGGCACAATCCACAATGGCTCCACTCGGTGACACTAAATCAGGTTAAAAAAAGATAACAAGCACAGATGTTTGTAAGATTTTTTTTTTTCTTTTTACTCTGTCCTAATCCCGTTAGACACAAATACACATAAATTCAGTGAAAAACCTGACATGTCCCGGTGGAGAGGCCTTATTTTGAAATGTTAGGCCTACTGTCATGTCTAGGCCATGACCCAGGGGAAAACATGAAAGGCAATCGGCCAGTTTGGAGAGGCCAGCATTAATGAAGTAGTCAAAGAGCAGGGGAGAAACAAGAGGAAAGACACAGCATTACATGCTAAAGGCTGACCCCACTTTACTGAGGTCCTGCAGAGAGGAGGGGGAAAGAGGCGAGAGGAGGCAGATGGGGAAGAGGCAGTAAAGTGAAGAACAGGAGGAGAGACACCACAAAGGAAACTCCCAACATGAGGATAATGTTTGAAAAATACAGATAATAGATGGAGTATTATGCTGAAATATTCCTGGGAGGGAACCGGGGAGCGAAAAAGATGAGGTGAAGTAGGAAAAACAAAGATGTTAGGAGGTGAAATAGTCAGACGTGGAGAAAATGGGGAGAAACGGGGCAGCGGGGAGGCTTGCATCTGTGCCCCATTCAGACTTTATCTGTTTGTATGGAGAGCACATAAAACTTTGACACCCTCCTACCCCCAGCATGTCCTGCAGCCAGTCACCCTCCCTCTGCGTTTTTCTGCACGTGGACTATTCCTCTCTCTCTCACACATACACACAAACAAGCATTCAGAGGTGCACTGAGGAAAAAACCTTGTACAGGAAAGACAAGCATCAGTGCACAATAGAGGAGGACACAGAGACAGACTGAATGAATGTTAACGCAGTTTAAAGGGTCGGGCAAGATGACGGGCTGTCCAGCTGATCTGCCACGTGAGAGACGCTCGTCAGGTCTGTCTGATTTGATCAAACCTGTTGCTCCGAATAAATAAATGAGAGCTCCATGGCGCCAGGAAATCTGTCTCCAAGAAACCAGCTTGTTAAAAAGAGTCAGTCACATTCCTGTTTCCCGAATGAGCCAGGTACACTAGTTGTTCAAAACTTGGGTCTGACAAAAGAAAAATAGAATAGCATTGGGGTTTTCTGGAAATTACAGTAGGTTGGCTCTTCACAGGAGAATGACAGCACCAAAAATGGTATTGTGTTTTTTTTCTATTCATACAACCTCAAGAGAAAGCAACCAGAAAAGGAAAATAGGGTGCTTGGCTGTGAGTGCATCTTAAGGCTTCCACCAGCAAGGTGAAACAGATTTGGATGAGTTAACAGGCAGACAAGGCCTCACTAACAAGCGACAGATCAGAGCTCGCTACGGCAGCCAACTAAACGCGATTTAGAAACTGAAAATGTGTCAGAGGTGTGACTTTAGAGCACAGCAGCTGTACCTGCAGTCAGCTGGTTTTCACTGGTTAGGCTTGTATTAGCTTTCATCAGAACCATTTTTAAAAATCTAATAAATTCCACGGTTCTTCTGTAAAAACACACACCCAGACAAAAACCCACAAGCTAGAAATCCTACCTCCCATCTCCAGCCTCATACCATAACATCTTAATTTTCCTCGCTCATTTGAACAACCGCAGTTTTTTCTCATCTGTGCCAGCTTTTTTTCTTTTTTCCCCTCCTCCCCCTTCTTAGACAATAACACCGCATGTCAAGCCAATTCTTCCAATTAAAAGTACACTAGAGAATCGCTTTTCGCTGGTGGTTTGGCTCCGACGCTCAGCGCGTTTTATGATGAGCGGCTTGAATTGGGTCAGATC